CCCCACCCCCCCCCCCCCCCCTCCTGGACCCATCCCCCCTTCCCCTGCAAGATTATGTGAGATTTATTTGCCCTAAACAGTGCACCCACCTGCATCCATGAAGTAAGCCCAGAAAAAAATAAATGGTTTTTTGGTTTTTGGATTGATTTCTGTAAAAACTTTTTTTCCTGTTTTTTAAAGCCCCAGAACCCCGCGGTTTTTTTTTGTAGGACGCAGGGAGGAGTAAAGTCCTTTTTTATTTTTATTTTATGTTTTTAAAATCAATTTTCATAATAACAACATTTAACTCCCCCCCCAAAGCCCGACTTTTCCTTAGTTTTTTTGACAATAATAACAAAAAAATGTGTAGCCAATATTGTTTTTATTTATAGATAAATTCAAAGGAAAAATGACCATCCCCGAGACATTTCCAAAATCCTATCTTGCTTAAGACCCCCACCCTCCCGGAACAGACAGGGAAAACCGCTTGGAGAGGGGTCCCCACACGGAAGCGAGTATTTTTCCAAAAGGCCTGAAAAGGTAATGCGCCTTTCTTAACGTGTTTTGAGTATGGGAGGTTTTGTTTTATTTCATGCATCCCTTAAATGGTTTTTTTAAACTCCCTTTTCAAAGACCCCTTCAACGGTTATCTGCGGAGTAATTTTTCTCCATATCTCCGGAATGTTTTTGCTAAAAAGAGTTTCTTTTTTTTTTTTTTTGTTCAACAATAAAAAAATCAAAACCAATGCAACCTTGTTTCCCCCCTTAGATTTATCTTATCTCCTTGTTGTGTTTGTACTTGTGCTCATACGCCCAACAACTTTACCCGCCAGAACGCCTCGCGCCATCATCCTCACCCCCCCAGAGCGCCGCCCATCCACCGTTTTTTTTCGGCCCGCGTGCCAAAACAAAACCACCGTCAAACCCATACTCTTTCCAATGCACTGATCGCAAATTTCCCAAAAGGTTTATTATTGTCCAAAGTGCCCAAATGGAACATGGTTGGGTATCTCCCCTGCCCCTTCCCCCTGTCCCCCCCCCCTGCCGGGACCTACCTCCCAAACTGTTCCCCCATCCCCATTGCGAATGGTCCCCCCCCCCCCCCCCCCCCCCCCCCCCCCCCTCTCCTGTCCCCCATCCACCAATATCCCTTCACTGGCCCAATTTTTCCCCCGGTGCAAAAAATCCCTCGATAGCCGTTGGGATAACTGAAAAACCAGAAAAATGTTCACCAAGATTTTTTTTTGATTGCTTCCAAAAATACCCTTTTGACCCAGCCGCAAAAATGGTGGTTTTTTTTTTTTTAAAATTAATCTTCCCCACAGTCCCCGTTTTAGAATAAACTAAAATTAGAGTTTTCTGAAGCGGATTATAAATCACAAACGAAGAGACACCCGTAAAAATGCCATTTTTAAACGCAATTTTTTATACCAACAAACATTATTTGCCTGGCTACTTTTCCCAATGGATGGTGGTCCCACTGTTCCCTGTAAGGCCAAATATCCCTTCCAACAATGTCCTTTTGCAGGTAAAAGAAGGGATTGAACCCCATGGTCAATGGATCCCCTAATAAATAGGATACCCAAGACCGTTCCCAGAAACCCAAACAAAATAACATAACCGAATTGCCGCAATGTTTGCAAGTTGTTGAAAAACCAACGTAAAAATTTAGTGACTTTTGAAAGTCCGAAAAATTTTGAGTTTTTTTAAAAGTCGAAAAATTTTAACTTTTTCCTGGTAGGCCCCATTTTTTTTTTTTTTGTTTTTACATGGGCGGAAAACGGCTTTACCATACCTTAGCGCCCCACCAACACAAATTTTGCCTAACAATCCCAAACAACAATTACAATGGTTACAAACTGGATCACCTTCTTAAAACCCCTCCCATAAAAATCCTGATTAAGAATTTTATCCTTGAACCCGGGAAGTCCCCCCCCCCCCTGTTCCCCGATAGTGGTTCCCACACCTCCAACCTTAAAAGAACCCTCCTTCTAATGTCCCCTTTTCAAGTGGTTTTCTTTTCTTGTTTTACTGAATTTTTTGTTTTTAAATGTTTAATGGTATGATTTTTTGTGGGCAACGGTTTTTTAAGCCAAAGAATGTTGGTTGTAAACGCAAAAAACTTTTAACAAAAAAATAAGCCTTGGCTATTTTTGATCCCCCTACACTGTTCTCCATCTTATAATGCCCTTGTTAAAAAGGGAAAAAATATTGGGCAAGATCCAATCCAATCTCATCCATCGCATTTTTCCCCTAAACCAGTTAATCATTTTTCCTTGGGGGTCCCCAGGGGGGTGGGCAATCAGAGATTGCCACCCCAAGTTCCACCCCCCCCTCCCCCCCCCATAGCAACACCCCCCCCCTCACTGGACCCCCTCTGCAGGTTGGTGAGTCCCCCACAGGATAAACGCCCCCTTTTGCTCTCTGAGTGTTGGGACATAGCCCCCCTTTGGAAATCCTTTCAGTGGGGCCTTTTGGCAATGGGTTTTAAGTGTCTTGGCCCCAAAGGACCATAAACTACGCCAAAGCATTCCCAAAATCAGTGGGAGTCCCGGGTTGGAGGAAAAGGGGTCCCGAGGTGGGAAAATACAACCCACCGGACCTTCAGGGCCGAAAGCCCAATTGCCTTCTTTACCAAACCCTTGGACAACTACTTGTTCCGCCCCCAATTATTGGGGCAAAAAGATTCAGTTTTTTTTTTGTATTGTGTAAAAAATGACTGGATTTTTAAGAACGTGAACCCATTATCGGTTTTATATTTTTATCGTTGAAGGTTTGGGGAAAGAAAGAATCGAGAGTTATTTTAATTTTTTTTTTTTCCCATACTTAAGTTTTTTTTTATTTTTTTAATTTTTTTTTATGTTTTTGATACCCCGAAAAAACACTTTTTTTATCAGTAGTCAATCTACCTTCATCATTTAAATTCTGGGGTTAAAACCCAATAACGAAACCTTTTTAAAAAAAGGTCCCCCCCTATTTAAATTTTTTTTAGTTTAAGATTTTTAATTTGAATTTCCCTCAAAGCCCCATTATTAGAGAGCAAATTCCTTTTTCGTGTCATTTGTTCCCAAGAGAAAAATAACGCGAGGTCGTGTCCCCCCCAAATCCCATTAACGGGTTGTGCACCCATATTTTGAGATGGTCCCCCAAAAGCCCTGCCCGTCAAAAGAAGGTTGGAAATTTGAACAGCGGAGAGGAAACTGAAACCAGCGAAATCAGCAACTGTCCCCTATGAATCAGCGCATGCCACCCCCTCTCCCCCGTGTACAGGTAAAAATGTTGCATCAGGTGGGTGTTTTTTTTGTGTGTTTTTTGTTAGCAATGTCAAAAATCTTGGGAGAAAATTGTGGGGTTTTTTTTTTATTTTAAGATAATGTGAACCAAGTAAAGTTTAGGATTGAAACAGAGAATGATAAGGAAAAATGGGGATCCGACTTTTGTTTTCACCAAGGATTTGTTGCTTATTGAATGTAATGAAAAACATTTGTTTTCCTTGTTTGCCCCCACCTAGGCAGTAAAAAAAACCGGTTGGGCCTGAGTAGTTAGTAAACTTCCCCCGGCTTTTCCTCAAAAAGAAAGTCCCTTGGATTTTTTTTGATTCCACCCTTAGAAAGGAAAAGCCTCCTTTTTCTGATTTGAGTTTTTTTTTTGCCATAATACTCTCCCCCATGTTCCTCCCCCCCCCCTGTGTTAAGTTTTATTTTTCCCCCAGGTCCCCCCCCCTCCTAGGTGCAGCACTAAAAACATGTACAAAAGGAAAACCCAAAAAACTGAAAAAGGAGGGAGGAAAACCATCTCCCCCTCACTCAGCACTATTTTTCCAAAATAATTGGAAAAATGGAACTCAGACAACTGTGGCATAAGAAATAATGTATTTTTTAAATTAATTGGGTAGTACAGCATACTGTCCCCCCCCTCCCATTGGTACCCCCCCCCTGATTTTTGTTTTTAACATTTTTTAATTTTTCCTTAAACAAAGTAAAATCGAAAAAAAGTGGGTACCGTTTTTAAATTTAAGACTTATTTTTTTAACCTCAAAACTAAATTGACACAAATACCTGTTTACAGTATCCAACTATCTAATTCCCCTGACCATTTGAATTAATGTCTTAATATAATTCTATATGTATTTATAGTTAAAATTGGTTAAAAAAATTATTGATCTTAACAAAATACATCAATTAATAGAAAATGTTATATTTCCCTTATTGGGCCCCCCTTTAAGCTGAATATTTTTTTTATTTTGTTTTTTTATAATGAAATTGAGAGAAATAAAATAGCCCTGCATGTATGGGCGGTTTTTCAACTTTTTTTTCGCAACATGTTTGGCTTTTTTTTTAAATGCATTTTGTAACATCGTAACCCGCTTTACAACTTTTTTGTAAATTCCCTTTATTTTAATGTTTTGTGAATTTTAAAAAAGCCATTTGAACCAGCCATTGGCCATCTTTTGGCGCGAGAGAGCCAATTGTTTTACCAGCCTTTCCCTCCTACAAGGCCCGGTTAAGAAAATGAAACAGGTCCCCCCACCCGTAGTAAATCAGCCCCACACCAGTGGGTGTATCTACAAAAGGTGGGGTGTTGTGGAAGGGGGAAATACCGCCCTAAGGATTTTACCCACCGAGCCCCATGACCCAAACCTGGGGCTTAAGCAAAACCAATAAAAGAAACAGGTAAAAATAGCTAGCACTCATTATTGGAAGGCCAAGCCATTGTTTAGCTTTTAGACAGCACAGAAACTTAATCCTAAACCAGCTTCCAACACTTTGCGGGTTATCCCAAAGATTTTTTTACGCAAAAAAAATACACAACGACAACGAAAATGGCTCAAGAATAACAAATACAAAAGTTTTTTTCCATGAAAATTTTTTGTATTTTGATTTGAAAATGGAATTTCCACAGAATAGAAACATTTTCAGCACTTGATTGGTTCACACACAATCCATTTCGCCCCCCAACATTGAAATGTTTTTTTCTAAGCTGTAGATGAATGCCCTTCCCATAGACAAGCTTCACTGCCAATGCCCAAATTCCCGTTGGAACCCCCCAAATCCCGTCTGAATAGGGACATTTCCCCCCCCACCAGGCTGGGTCCCCTTTTTACCGTTCACGAGGAAGCCCCAATGGCTTGTTGTAACCCCCGGTTAACGGACCCAAAATCTTCCCCGTTTGGGCGGTGTTCCGTCCCCCCCCCCGGCCCCCCCGGTTGTTTTTCACCTCCCCTTTATTCTCCACCGGCCGCAAAGAACCCACGTCGGCGGGTTTGGCAGGCCCATGGAGCCAACCCCGGTCCCCAGGAGGCTTGTCCCAAAGTGGTCCCGGGACCAGTGGGGAGAAAAGGTAGGAGGCGGCCTGTCCCCCTGTGTTGGGACTGACTCCCCCGGGAGAATAGAGCCTCAGGCCCGTGGCTGGAGAAGTTCTGGTGGACGCCCTTTTGGGAGGTTGCCCTTGCTGTTAGCCCTGCTGTTGTGCGCCTGCCCCCCTGCTGCCAGGCCCCTTTTGAGAAAAACCAAGCAGTGAATGTTTGGGTGAATTATTTGAATCAAAACTTATCTCCATTAAGTTTTTATTGAATAAAAAATGTGGTAATTTTTAGAGGGTGCACTTTTCCGGATAATGTTTCTATTTGCAAAAAGATATCTCTTTTACCCTTAAAAGTTTAATGTCCCCCCGTTAAAATCCCTGCAAGGGCACAGCGTTAGTGGGCCTTATGCCCTTTTCAAAACAATAAATGGTTTCCCGCCCTTTGGGTACTCACCAGTTTTTTTCCCTAACCTGGTGGAAAGATGAATTAAAAATTAAAGTTAGTACTAGAAACTTTTTTAAAAGGTTTTGCCCTTGCTATTCCAGAAATTATATAGAACCACTATTGTTGATTTTTGTTAAAAATATTTCCCGGGTGTTCATTTTTTTTGACATGTTTTTTCAGAATTAATTTATGTTTTTTTTTAAAAAAAAAACGGCTTTTTCTTAGTTTTTTTCACCTTTTTTTCACTTCCTCACATTAGAAAAAACGCTAAGGAGGGGGCCCCAAAAAATGGGGGCGAAAGAACCCGTTGCTATTTATCTCTATGTGCGCTGCAACACCGAAATGTCCCCATTGTGGTACTAATATAGGTTCTTATTGTGTAAACGTTAGGTTGCCCAACTATAATTAGATATTTTCAGACTAATTAAACCTTATTAACATGTCCATCATCAACTCACTTTCATTGTGTTATAACTGCAATATAACATAGTTTAGAGAATAAAATAAAACAAACAAGTGTAATGCAGTGAGACTTTGGTGGCAGCTTGCTCTCAGACACCACAGTAAAGTTTAACAGCCCCAATCACAGGAATGCTGAGCTGAGCGAGAGGTCGTTCGGACAGGATGGCCCTTCCTGTTGTTCTGCTCTTTGGAACCAGTCAAGGACATGAGGCATAATTTGTATATAAAAGGAGTTGCTGTATTATTATAGTTTTTTTATTTTTATTTTTTAAAGCTAGAGGAAAAACACCAAGTTGTTTGTGCAAAGAAAGTTTAACCATGTGATTGCACTGGTTGAAAATAGGCAACAATAATTACTGTTGTGCTCAAACTCTGCACTGGCATTTTGGTTTTCATTTTGGCATTTCAGTTCTCAGTCACGTGTATTTCCCGTATGTCTTTTATGTCAGAGGACAAATGGGTGGTTTGTGTTTATTAGAAATATAAGTGCAGTAATTCTACTTAGTACCTTAGTACAAGTGAAGTTTGTGGGTGGACTCATATACACTCAAGAATTATATTATGTATATTATGTAAAGTAACTGTAATTGCATTCTATCTCCACAACAGCTGCGCTGAAGGAGCAAAGACTGATAATGTTTATATTAGCAATGCCTCTGTTGTAACTATTTAAAATATTATGGATTTCATGCCAATAATATTTGCAATGATCAATCAAAACATTGAACACATACTTTCTCTTCTCAGTGTCCAGCATGTTCGACCTCGGCCTGAGATCCGACGGCTTCGTTGACAACACGGGTCTCTATGACAACACCATCTCCTTCTCGCAGTACGGCGGCAGCGTAAAGTCTGGCCAGTACGACACCGGCCTCAAAACCAACGGCTACGATGTGACGCGCTCGGCTCAGTACAGCACCAAGGCCAGCAGCCTGCCGTACGGTGGCAGCGTGGCGTCCGGTCAGTTCGACACCATGAACGGCTACAAGTCCAGTCAGTACGACATGAGCCTGCGCTCCGGACAGTTCGACCTGAAGACGGATCATTACGGCTCTGGGGTGAAGTCCAGTCAGTACGATGTGGGCGTGAAGTCGGGGCAGTCCACCATTCGCTCGGCGCAGTACGACAACGCCACGGTTGATGCAGTGCTACCGGCATTCACCTGGTCCACCACCACGCTGCCCGCAGTGCCCGCGCCGGCCGCGAGCGCCACCAGCTACAGCTACCAGATCAGCACCAACAACATGGGGGGGTCAGTGCCACTCAGCCCCGCCTCCCCGTCCTCTCTGTCAGGTGAGAAGATCTCTGTTGGAACCAAATGTTTGGTGAATAGCTTTGTGGTTGTGTGCATGCATGTTTTTTAATGCTTTATTAATATTAACAATAAGATTTTTTGATTTATACTTTTTGGAAAAATACAATACAAAAATTTCAAATAGAAGCTGTAGCTGGACTGCGTCAGTGCTTTTTCACAGTGGATTTTTAGTAAATGGAACCAGAACTAACGCTGGAATCATTACAGAAAAAGGATATAAGAATATAAAAGAAAATAATGAAATACAATTATTTGATACAAAAATATTAATATAAAAATAGTTTTAAACCGCTGCATGTCTCTTTCCAGTTTATGGTTTTCAGAACAACTTGGGGCCCACCTCTGGCAGTGTGCTCACCACAGGTGGAGCCAACACCAGCGCCAGTCTGGGAGGTGCGCATCTATTACTCACCTAACGTGTGTTTGCATGTGTGTGCATACGTGTGCGTGTGGATGTGCATATGTGTGTCCGTGTGCATGTGTGTGTGAGTGCGTGTTTTCACATGTGTAAATATGTCCGGTCCTTTTCAGGTTACGGAGTGCAGAAAAATGTGTCCAGCGTTGGGGTGACGAGCTCTGGAGTCTCCACAGGTGACTATCATAAAATACAAACCCTTCTGTATTGATGCTGAATCCGTTTGTCATCAGCCACCAGGTCTCAGACCGATGAGTCCTACAAGAGGTATGTGACGGCCGATAAAGAGAATCTATTAGCTAAGAGCGATGGGGAGACTTTGATCATGGCCAAAGACACCGGGAAACAGTTCACAAGTGGCGTCCCCATGGGCAGCAGCGTGTTCATCGGTGGAGGAGGTGAGTTATTATGAAATGTCCATAATTGTATTCTTTCTGCATTATACATTATTACTCGTTCCCTATATTTTCAAGTTTAGTCGTATTTGCTATTTGAGTTGCTTAGAGCTGGGGTAACAAACTTGCAAACCACAAATGGAACTATGTAATCACATCTATGTAACTAGTTCCTCACTCTCAAAACATAAATACATCTTTAGATCAGCTTTCTTCAGACAGACAGAAGGAGACCACTCTTTCCAATCAGCTCTCAGCCCACAGCATCAAATACTTACTCATTATTCAAGAATCTCTATATTAGGACAAACTAATTATTTTTATAAAACATAAAGGAAATCTTCCCCAGCTTCTAGTAACAATGAGGGCTTACACATGCAATTTGCAATGTCACCACCAGATGCCGCCGAACGTATTTTTTGGTGTGACATAATAATGTTTGATGAATGAGATGAAGATTAAAGCCAAACAAAAACACATGACTGTCTAATGTAGTTAAATTTTATGAATCCCATTTGGACTTAAGTGAATTAACTTTTTATGCCCATGTTAATCTTTCTGTACCGCGCATGTGACAAGCAAAATCATTCACATTTTCATTTTGGTAACTTGTTAATTGCACATTTGTACAGGCTCTTTGTCTGGAGACTCCATAAAGAAAGAGAAACTGATTTCCAGCTATGCAGACGCGGGTCAGATGAAGGCGGGGCTTGGACAGTCGTATTGTATGTGACCATTCAAAAACAAAGACGTCTGATTCTTATTTTTTTTATATTTTGTTCATTATGAATCTATATTATTATCTAGATGGGAGCTCCGGAGTTTTGATGAAAGATAAAGCCACATACGCAGGTAAATACGTTGTGTTTTTGCTCTGGTTTATGTTAAAATATTGCATTTTTTTCATTTAAACTTATTTTGTTCAGAGATCCGTCGGGACAGCGGGGTTTTCGGAGGAGGGGGATTTTGCTGCTGTTCAGATTCGTGCTGTTCGTGGTGGAAATGGCTCCTGGGACTCCTCCTTCTGGCTCTGCTCCTGCTCGGACTCCTGTTTGGTCTCATCGCTCTGGGTAAAAACCAATAAAACATGATACATACACGTCCGCAGAAAGCCGGGTTAAGACACGAGGAATTACACTTTCAAGGTTACAAGGGAAGGTTGGCAAAAGCTAATAATCTATGATATCTGTGCAAGGGAGCACAGAGGCCTTTAACACTAGGAGCGCCCCTAGCGGTCAACTGACCGTCACTCACTTTAAAATGCTAATTAGTGTATTCAAAACAAAACGCAAAACAAACGCAGTCAAAAGTTTTATGACTTTTACTGGGTACTTGTTGTTTATATTTTGGTGTGTTTTGGTTTTGGAAAAAGTAAAGAAAACAAGATTTACACGCATTTTAACTTTTCTAAACCACAGCCCTTTCTGCTGCCCCATAGGGATACATGGCGCAGGGGCGACTGTTGTCATAGTAACCTTTCCCGAGGGTTTTTCGCGCCTTATAAAAATGTATCAATGTGTTGTCATTAGACTCTAAAGGGACTTGAGTTTTTTTTTTTTTATTATTTTGGAGAGAGAAAGAGTTTTGAATTGAGAGGAGTACAAAATGAATATAGAGCTGCAAGTACATGGTATGAAGCCCTGACAGTGCTTCAAGACATTGAATGAGAACAGTCTGACGGAGGTGAGATGTCACATTTTGAGGTGGAAAGTGACAGCGGGGAGAACACCTATAATATTCTAAATCTGAACGTAAACCCATAGTGCATTCACGGCACGGACAGCAGTGTTGTAACAAGTCCAGAAGCAATAACGCACATGAGCGCGCGTAATGCCAGCCATACGGAGGTGTCTGTGTGCGCCTGTCGCTCCATTCTGCCTTTTCATTTATCATCAATTACATTATTATATTTATACATAGAAGAAGGCAATAAAGCAATAAAATAGAACAATTAGATGAACTATCAAGGCAGAGTGCAGATAGAGCGCTGTGAGGCCTATCTTCACCCGCGGACACCTGCAGGAGGAGAGGGACTGTGGTGGGGCAGAAGCGGCCCTCATATCATATCAATAAGGATATCATTCTGATTTTATCCAGATAACACTGTGTGTTATTCTGCACAGCGTGCACTTTAAGGCAATGATTATAATTTTGTTCTGATCATAAAGAGCACTGCTTGTCTCAAATAAATACAAATATATACATATATACAGTATATTTGTCTTTCTAACGTGTCCCGTGTAAAATTGAAGATTGTACATTGACGATGGTAGCCTAGCTGATGATCTTGTGTCAATACAAATACTATTTTTATTATCTAGATAATATCTCCCACGGTGATTTCGGCCTCTTTGTCCAGACGGGGGCTTAAGTGTTTGAGCGTTTGCGGGTTGAATGCACCACTAAGCATGTTTCCTGAAACACATATATTATCAGGTCTCCTCTCCTTGTTCTGCACATAACCTTTTAAATTCCTGTCCATTAGCACTCAAACTCCTTGCGTTCATTGATTGATTTCATACTACTCTCTCATCCCCCTCCCACACCCACTCTCTTCTCTCCTCCAACCTTTTGTCCACCAGTTCCCAGGAAACACTCTATACCGAGGTACTTTTCGTCCCTTCACACATAGTACGTATTTGATTGTTTTATGTTTGCTGATGCGCACATTATGACATTGCTTGAAACACCATCAAAATCTCCACGACACATATTTACTCAATCACACTCTGCGTCTTTTCCTCTAGCATCACTCTGGTCTCCATTCGCTCCTGGGTTTTGATTTTGAACTTTCCTCACTGCTCTCTGATAAGAGAATTATTCACAAACATTCACTCTCTGCATCGCAGTTTTTCCTCACTTACACTCCACTAGGTACATCATTGTTGCCCTCCGCAGTTTATACCCATTTAAAAACTCACAACCCACCTTTACTTTTCGGGAGTACTGTCACTGTAAATAAGTTAAAAGGATATAAGCTCTCCACATGTGACTTCAACTCGCTCATCATTCCACTCAAGCTCCACCCTAACAGTGGTCTACAGTAGGTACCATTTCGTTTTGTCGTGTCATTCACGCTTTTCCTGGAATAGCAGCCTGCGTGAAAACATATTACATTTATCGCATAGGTGGCAGGTTAAGTCCGCTTTTGCTCTGCCAGCGACTGAAACGCTCAGGCGAAGGCGTTCGGTCATTGCGTGGGGACCATGGGGACATGTCCCCACCATATTTTGGTGAGGACTAAAAAAGATCCCCACCAAATGACATGATGTTCCGATGGGACCCGGACTGAGACCTTTTTCACGGCCACGCTTCTCCGCCATTTCCGCCCTTCGCGGAGAAGCAACTTCGGTTTGCGGTGGTTAAGTCAAATGACAGGGTCATACTTTTCCAGAACCGAGTTGAAATATTCAATATCTTCTGATTTTCAGAAACTGTCCTTCGGGCTTGTAGGGAGCATCGGTATGGTACATTTATGGAATATTTCTCCCTAAAAGGTTTGTGTATTAGTAAAATTGGTGGTTTGTCAAGCTAAAGGGCTAAGTTGAGGCAACCAGTTACTGCAGGCTGTTTCTTCAGAACACAATCTTTAGTTATAAAATAATAGTATTGCTTAATAAGTTCAAGACTAAAGGTGTATCTACATTAGTTTTATGTTTGGTTTTTTCTTTTCTTTTTTTACTAGAATTGGCATCCAGAAAATCTTGCTGTGTGCCTCTTTGTTCAGCTACAATGGAGAACCATCCTTCATAAGTTTTCACGGAGTTCCCCATGGATGTTGGTAGACGTGCAAATGGATTGGGCCTTGTTTCGGAGAGATCGAGGGTCCAAATTTTAAGGTGAGACAATGGGCGCAGTGCTGTTGCCGTTTACATTTTGGACCAGATGACCTTAACTCAAAGGAGTTTGAGGAAGGTCCAGAATTCTGTGCCATCAAATTGTGTTTGGAATTAATGGAGTAAGGTAGTGTGAGTGTCTGTGTGTGTTGTGTTTGTGTTGTGTCCTAATGGCAGCAAAAGGTATTACTGAAATAAATAATGTTTATTCAAAATAATTAGGTGCTTATTGGCTAATGTTTTTTCCACATAATCATTCTGAACGTATTGTAAAACATAATGCACTTTTATATTGTTGTTTGTAAAGGAAAAAAAGAAGTAAAGGAAAGGCCAACAAGGCACCGAAGTTTAGAGGATCAATGAAGGGGGGAGTGCGAAGATCTTTGTCCCGTGAAGAGCTTGAGAGAGAAGATGGTGGTCTGCCACACAAGGAACCAGTAGCAAAGGGTTTAGGACCATGATTACACAAGCATCCTTCTCTGGTGAGTTTCATACGGCAAGTCTGCACTTAAGAGCAAGTTAAAAAGTGTCACCTGGACCTGGATTTATTGGTTTGAGAACAGGAATTGTAGTAGCTTACTCTGTCCAAAGGGAGATGTAAACTTTTGGAAAGCTGTCCAGTGATAATTTGATAGCGGGATGACTATTTTGTTCAATGCTGATGAATGGGGGTTATAACGCTTTATATATTGGTATTCTTTTTAGGACCAAGGTAGACAGGGCTGGCAATGCAATTAAGGACTTGGAGCAGGAAGGTGTTTGTCTGGCAGCGGGGAAAATAATTAACTAACATTTAAAGACCGAGCTGACCTTTCTTATATACAAATTTTGTTGTAAAGATGAGGCTTTCGTATTATTGTCGTTTTTCTTCTATAGAGAGGTTTTTGAAGATTTTTATGGGAGTTCTATTAAGCTTCTGCATTCCAATTTGTTTATTGGGTGTAAGCAAGATGTTGAGTAGTTGAAAAACCAAGCCCTATGAGAAAAGCTTCGCTCATTGATTGAATATTTTTTCTTTCGCAGCCATGGCAAGGGACAACAAAACAGACAGGACTCAGAAGTGACATATACAGTTTTTTTTTATTAACAACCAAATCCCAGTTCAAAAAGGAGTGTGAAAGAAGTTAAGATTTTTAACTCCCACCTCTTTTTATTCCTTCTAAATGAACTAAACTAACTGATGTGGTTGCTACAGTGTTGGATTATGCCGTGGTATTTTTACAATCACATGCACTTGATTTGTACAGTGTATGTCTAATATGATTCTATATAAAAGTTTATTAATATCCCTTTTATAGTTTACAGTATCAGTCTTACTATCTAATTTATCATATTTTAATCCAAATAAGATTTATAATTATTTTCTTTATCATGTACATTATAGAGTAATGTTTTAGATTTTACTATATATATATCATATAATTGTTGGACATGTGATTACTGGTAAATATAAATGGTATTCTATTATGGTGGTTATACTTTATTCACTCTTGTGTCAGCTTGTGCATGTTATTCACTAAAACTCACTAGGATAGGCTTTGTATAAGAGTGCTTTTGGTCAACAATTCTAAAAACTTGGTCTACATTGTGGATTTTTTTTTACCACCATATCAGTGGTAGCCTTGGTGAATCCCCTAGAAAATATTAAAATAACAATTCAGATGAGCTCCACTTTGACATTCAAGGTTTACAGGTTCCTAGGCCGGATGCCATGATTGCAAGTGTAATTGTGCAGGATAGACGGATTTAAGGGCACAGTTTTAAAGCCCAGTGTACGATAGTGAGCCATTTGGTTATAGAAGAGCCACCAGGGTGATTGCACAATCGCCTACCAGCGGCACTACGAGCATGAGATTCTTGCACAGTTGGGTTATTTACATGGAAAGGAAGGATATCTGTGAAGTGAAAACAACTGTGAGAGAGTATATAGGCAACAGATGGAAAATTTACTGGACCCTCCCTTTCAAAGAACCTATTTTTGTACACTAAGTAAGTAAACTGAAGATGTATGGAGCTTCCTGTGTTTCTTCATTGACCTGTGACTCTTCCCTCACGGTTAAACCTCACCGTTGAACTACTTAGATACTGATGAAAATATCTTGTAAGAATGTAAGAATCTCTGTTGAATATTATTGTTATGAGTAAACAATTTTCCTAGCTTTTTTCATAATATTATCCAATCTTATAAATTCTCACTCACACTGGAAGTTGGGCAAAATATATCTTCATTAAGAATGTGTAGCTTTGT